CCGCTTCACATTGTCGAGGATGTATTCCGGAATTCAGAGAGTCGGCCATGAAAAGTCTAAATTTATGTTGAATTTCCTTTGTCAATTAACCTGTACCTGATTTATTCGACTTCAGTTGTCTTACTCTCTTATTTTAGTGAATTCTTAGCATCAGTTGGATAATCTAATCTGTGCATTAACATTGTAGTATAGTTGTGTATTTAATATTGAGTTTGGTAGTGAATAAAATAGTATTTGCTACCGGATGTCTAACGAAATACTTGTGGACAGGTTATCTCTTCTTTTTCTTCCGTACGTGTTTACTCTTGCTAGAGCATTGAACTCGGATACTTGATCCTAGGGGGAGATGTAACATCTGGAGCAATCGCAACTTCTCGGGCCTTTCCGACTAGCGGAAAAACGACCTCGAATGTATATGGTAGCCGCCATGACAACCCTCCCTTTTCACGATCTTTGAAATAAATACATGGAGACCTTTTATCTGTGGAATATGGAGGGTAACTTTATTCAATGTAATAATATTACATAAAATATCCTATAGAAGGGACTTCTAACTCCGTCTTTTCTATATTTGACTAAACAGGAAATGTATAAAATTTAACATCCGGTGATGTTAATACATTCGAGGTTGTTTTTCCGACCTCTGACGGAAAGACCCGAGATGATGCGATTGACATCTGGAGATGTTGGGATGTAACATCTGGAGATGTTGGGAGTGACGAGCACGCGGTTTGAGAAGAACAAAGAAGGTTGTTTAGATAGGCAGACGTATTTAGGTTTATGCAGACGTAGTTATGTTGATTGTATGTACATCGGTACTTCAGTTAAGAACATTGGGGGGGGGGGGGGATAGGTTAAATCTCATATTTCCTAGTATATAACTATTATTAGACAATAAGGTTGTTAAACTGTTTTGTCCTGTTTATTAATTTTTACAGAGAAAGGTAATTCCTGTGAGTTTTCATGTAGTTCATTCTGCTTTTGAATAATGAAAGAGCCTGAGCTTCAGTAAGATTTGTGTATATGTCCATGTACACATATTTTGTAAACCTCACTATTTTCTCCTGCCAGTTGCTTTAAAGTAGGAACTGTATGGTGTTCTCCCAGTTTTTCACTGATAGCTCTTATGGAGTGTTCATCTTTGGTGGAATCAAATTATCAATGTAAACTTTCACATGGGCTGCTACAATATATATGTAAATCTATTAGATATTTTCTAAAAACAAAGCTATTTGACCTATTGGAGTGTTTGACAATAAAAATTAACAAAAAACATAAACAGATAATTCAAAACCAATTTTTTATTGTACCGCATATAGGCCCCCATCTGCCATCACCTGCTTGGTAGAAATCTAACACGGGAGATAAATTGTGTATCCCGCTCTGACGATGCTGAAAATATTTTAACAGGTTATTTTAAAATTGACCTAATGAAACAACCCCCAAGATACTGGACTTCTGCTTTTGAAGAATATGACTTCTCATATTTTTTTTGTCACCCAATGATTGGCTGTGAAAATATTATCTACTTATGTTTTTTGTTGCATTGATTTTCATAAGCTCTACAGAATGACGAAATTATTTTAACAGGTTATTTTAATATTGACCTAATGAAAGACCCTCCTAGATACTGGACATCTGCTTTGGAAGAATATGACTTCTCATATTTTTATTGTCACCCAATGATTGGCTGTGAAAATATTATCTGTTTATGTTTTTTGTTGATTTTCAGAAGCTCTACAGAATCACATTTACCTTCTGGTCATATACTTTGAATGAAAGCGAAACCCTTGAATCACTTTGGTTTTTTGTGTATTTAAACAGTAAAACCAGACACAATTATGTAGGAACTGGTTAGCTTATGTACCAAAGTACATTATTAATACTAGTCATATCATACTTTTAATGAAGGGGGCCGAGGGGCAAAGCCCCCTGAAGCTCTCAAGTTTTTGTGTATTTTAAGAGTAAAACTAGGCACAAAAATATTGGTATTGTCCCAAAGTATGGCATTAATCATAATTATTCTTATCGTACTTTGGAATTTTAGGGGAGGGGTCCCCTTAAACCCGCCAGTGTATACTTTGTATTAATTTATTGGGGAAGTATAATATCTTTGACAAGAATATTCATCTTTTGCCGTGCATAATAATTGGCTTGTATTTTGTATTTGAAGTCGCATCTATTGAGTGCACATTGCCATGTTGATATAAAACTGACTACAAGTATCTAATCTAGCTAGTAATCTGATGTTAAATAGTATTTAGTTTTAAAATAGCGAGCGAAACGAACCAAAAATAATCCTGGATTGAAGGTTTTGAGGTTCAATTACATGGAAATAAAAAGGTATATTTCAAAATGATTAAATATCATAAGTCCAGGTCAGATTATTTATTTTCTCTGTAGTGGAGGAGAGATTATTTATTTTCAACATTTTCAGGGACAGATTATTTATTTAAAAAATCTGCCAGGCCCCCAATCTCAAAATCAAATGGTCGTCCCCTTTTATAAATACGTTTAAAATTAATCAGAATACCTTATTTGATTTAATTGTTGAAATATCTCTACCAAGACTAGATATAATATGACGTTTAGTAAAAATGTTATGACAGTAATCTATGAATTTTCCGAGCAACCAACGTATATTTGTAAGTATATTGGTTCATTTGCTTGTTTGCTTTTTCGTTTGTATGTTTAGCGTCCCTTTTAGAATCAATTGTTCTCTTACATTGAGGTCCCATCAATTTTCTATGGAGGGCTGTAAATTTTGAAATTTGTTCAATCGGGACTTTGGGCATGAGGAACCCTTTATTACTTCTTTGACGCGTGATATCTGTTTATACTTTAAATCATAAAATATATGGAAAAAACGAACAGTATTCAAGCTTAAAAGTCTATTGAACAATACAAAATAGGAGGAGAGCAGAGCAAACATGGACCTCAAAAATATTAAAGGTCGGATTAGGTGCCATGGAAGAGAGAACATCCACTGCCGAATGGTCAAACCGGTTGTGTGCTCGATCCTTTTCATGATCAGGAAACAATGGGGAATAATGCATAACTTCATTGTTTGCATAATGGCCTAACATTTAGTTTTAAAAATCTCAAGCGGCATTTGACTCAATAATAAATTATACATGTATCACATAAAAACAAACAATATACATGTAATGAGAAAATAAAACATTACTAAAAAGCATATAGTATTCACCGCCATCAAGTGCACGCCTTTTACATTGTTCACCTTGTTTGTTTACGCCCCTCTCGAAAGCACGGGGCAAAGTGGGTCACCCAGAATCAATCGGCGTGTGATCCAGCGACCCACAGTTATACACAAACAAGTTTAGCATTTAAAAAAAGAGTCAGCCAATGGATTTTTTCTTCTCTGTGATAATGTTTTGAAGAATACATGTACATGTACTACAGTACTGAAAAAAATGCATTATACCGGTATTGCATGTTTTGTCTCTAAATCAAAAGAAAGATATGTTTTGTGAAATGAAATTATAAACCAATCTCATCGGATATAAAGGGGTTTAAATTATGAGGATGGGGGACATGGCAGTTTTGGCCACCAAACGGAACCTCGTATAAGTTTCACTATTACCCTGTTAGAGTTTGTCATGTTGCAGGTTGAATCACTCAGTGCTACTGTGTTTAGACAACAGACACCTTTGCCCCTGCGATAAAGTAACAGCCATACTGAACCCTTAATTGAGAATATCAATAAAGGGCCACTTAAATACATGTAACCAGTACGTACATTTTCTAGTACTTTTAGATAAGAAAAATTCAATTCAAACAGGTAACATGCAAGCTTTGTTTAGCCTAACCTTTGCATAATTTAAGACATAGGTATTTTTTTAATTTAAGTTTGTTAACTATCCTACTTTAATTTGACCTAGCTAGCTGTATTTCAGCTTGAAACTTTAAAAAAGTAGAATTGAAAGAAAATAAACAACACAATGACTGTTATACAAATTCATTTATCAAATCTCTATAACGTAAGAAAACTATAAATCCCTAAATCTGATTGCCACAACATAAATGGTCTCATTCACTAAACAAGCTAATTCAGAGAATCTGCGTCTCCCTTTTAGGAAAAAATCATGCACAAATTTCATTAAAAAAGGGGATGTCACGGGGCCATATGGTGGATGGAGTTATGGTATAAAATTTGATTGTAAAACGAAAAAATGTTTCTTTTGATATTGACTGGAAATGAAATTTTTACACACACTCCCAGAGAGATGTGAATTTAATACCTTGACCTTTAAATGTCAAAATAAATCTATAGGTGTCTTCCTTTCAGCATATGTTGTGGTGGTATAAAATTTCATTTCTAAAGCTGAAGGGCTTATCGAGATATTGCACGGACACAAAGGTGTTCAAACAGACATTATAAGCTTGATGTCATTACCTTGACCATTGACATTTTTACCTCAAAATCAAGAGGAGTTTTCCAAAGTGAGTTGTTTAAAATTTCACTACAATAGCTCAAGGGCTTCTCGAAATATTTCACGGAATTGAAAGTGTTACAGACAGAACTACAGACGTCAGGGGCAGGGAAAGACAGGCAGACCGAAATAAATAATATCCTCCTTCCAGCGGGGGACATTACAAACAAGCAAGCTCAGCCAGTTGTTTCTCTTCCCGAAGTATCCGTTGTATGCTTTAACAAGTCAGTTCGCTAAATTGCATCGGGATCGAAATGATATAATGAAAACGAAAGTAAATTAATAATAAAAATCTCAAAATCTGTATTAAACCAATGTTTATGTCGTAGATTTAAATACATAATGATAAATAAAATACCTTCAACATACTTTCCAAAAGACCTTCAATTAAACACTGTGCACATATGAATTCATACCACTGTATGCCTATTAAACTGCGTAGGACACATTTCGGCTGACTTCGATCATGAGGACTTGAGTAACTGTTGTTGAACTAGAGTAACATCGAACCCGATATAGTGGCTGACTTCGATCATGAACTTGAGTAACTATTGTTGAACAATAGTAACATCGAACCCGATATAGTTTAACTGGAGTGACGTAATTTTTCTACCATAGTTCTACCCTCGTGTTTCCGTTGGTAGATCGAGTTAAAGATGGCGCCGATAGGTGAGAATTTACTTTATGCAACTAAATACATTTACTTTTTATTGTTTTTCTTTAGTTTTTTTTTTCATTTCGCAAAGGTTGGTTTTAGCTTCAAAATATTCCGGCGATATTTTTGTGTAATTTGGTTGTAATATAAAGGTGGCATAATGGAATTTTGACAAAAATATATTTTAATTTTAAACTACATGATTCAAAAGACATGTGTTGTCATTTTTCATTTTTTTTTAGATTAGAGGAATATCCACTACGATACATTAGATAGTCAGGTTAGTAAAGGTTACTTGTAGTAATGTGCTACTTAATTTACACTGATTTTTCCTCATAAACTTGAAGATTGGGGGGGGGGGCTTTTTCTGTCTTTTTATTCATACAAACTTGACTGTAACTGAAAAACTAGAAGAGATAATGGTGTTACAATAGCTCTGTCTTAATATTTATTTATGACTTAAGTTGTCCTACAAATAACATTCCCAAATGCACTGAATTCAGACTAGAGCAGTGAAGAGTATAAATTAAGTACATGTAGTTAATAATAACAATTATATAAAATTCATTGATATTCAATATTTTTTTCCTTCAGAATGCCAAAACTAATAATAAAAGGAGCTAACGGTATTCAGCTTGATATTGAATGTGATGAAGCAACGAAGCAGTCTCTTTTGAGTGGGGATACAGGTAGGAATCAGTACTGCTTTTGTTATTTGTAATCTTCTAAGTAAAGGGTCTACGTCAAAATGATTTATGTCAGCAGATATTCACATATCAGTCTAATAAAAATCAGGTCTTTTAATCCCTTTCTGTGTACAGACGTGTATTAATGCTGGCAGATCAAAGGATAAAATTTTAATCAAATTGATTACATATATATAATCAAAATTTTCTTAATAATTTGTGATTATTTATTGAAAAAATATTAATAGGGAATAATGCATTCTTTCTTAGACCCACAATTAAAGGACATGATCGTCCAAATGCTGATTAAACAGCAACGTCCTGAGCCCCAGGCATCACTAGGTTTGGCAAAAACTTTACAACAGTCAACCCAAGGAACACCTTCAGCAACATCAAGCACAGGTAATTCCAATCCTAAGTCACAGTTGAAAGCATCAGTACCAGGTTCATCTTCCACCAGCCCTCTTCAACCAGCAGCTCCTCCCCATTCAAGTGCGTCCCCATCCTCAAGCGATGAATCTTTGAATGCAGGTGTCCACTTATGGACAGATAAGCAAGAGGACTTGCTTGTCCACCTCCGTCATGACAGGCAAGACTTGTTCGAAAAAAACAAAAATCATGTGAGTTTGTGGACTCAGATCTCAAGAGACTTATCCAATGCTTTCAAAGTAAAAATAACACCAACACAGGCCATAAACAAATACAACAATCTTAAGAAAAGATGGAAAGAAATAATCGATTCTGGAACTGGTACTGAGAGGAAGTATTTTAGATTAAAAGAAGACTTTGATCTTATGTATGGAACAAGACAATCTACAAAACCTGCTTTCACAATCGACAGTTCAAGTAGTGATTCCATTGAATGTCCCACTCCCTCCCATGCTGAAACAGTCACTAAGTCAAAGAGTCCAAAAAAAAAAGAATTGTTGGAACAGCTTGATGCAAAAGAAGAAGAATTTAATGATAAAATTGAGAAATTCCATGCTGAAAAAATGAAAAGGATGGACAGATTCCTGGATTTGTTCGAGAAGAGTATTGAAAAAAATGAAAAATAACGTATTTTTATACTCAGACAAGACTTAATTGAAAGTGCCATAAATAGAGTTTTGATTTGACAGAAGTTTACATAGGTTAGATTAAATTATGGTGTGGAGTTACACACCTGGTTAGGTGACTTTTTCTTAAAAAGACTGGTCTTTTTTGTAGTATGTTTGATTTATCATGTTATAAAGTTACATAGGTAAATTACTTTTATTTATGCAAGGCACTGCTGATCTTAAATGACTTAAAGGCCTGTTGGTATGAGATTTTTTTGTCATCATATCATTCAACTGGGTTGTGGGCATCTAATTTTTTTATATATATATATTTTTCTACAGTTGTTAAATTTTGTTTTTGATTTTGTTTTTTTTTATTTTATTATACATAAAAATATGTTTTTTTGTTACAATCAAATGTTTGATATAAAAAATGGTTGAAAAACAAATTCTTGTGTTCTGTAGTGTTTTGAGACACTTAATTATCATAACAAATGTTACTGCAGTGTATCTGCTGCAATGCCAAAATGAAACTGTTGGGTGTAATATTGTAATAAAATCACTTGACATTTATTTCAATTCATTTTCATATATAATTTTAAATACTAGTACTAGTTATAATATCCAATATTTTAAGAATCAAAATTTGATTTTAAAAAAAAAGAAAAGAAAAACTGAAAATTGATTATCTTTTATTTGGTTAACGAATATTTACTAGTTGGAGTCTACGAACAACCTCAGCATGACCATTCTGATAAACATTTTCAAACTGATTAGGATGATTGTCAATATCCTGCTCAATAAATCCATCAATGTCATCATTATACTGGACACATAGGTTATGCAACACACAAGATGCATAAATAAGGGTACAGATTTCTCTGTGACTGTGCAGAGGTATATCACGTAATCGCCTGAATCTTCCTTTTAAATGTCCAAATGTCCTTTCCACGTTTTGTCTAACACTGGAGAGTCTCTTGTTAAATTTAATTTGCTGTCTTGTCAGTTGTCCAATATTTTTTAATGGCGTGATGAGCCAATTCCTAAGTGGATAGGCATTGTCACCTACTATGTAGGAATTAGGAGTTATTAGTTCTCCTGCCTCAGCTCTGCGGTATAATCCAGAGTTTCTGAGAACTCGTGCGTCATGGACACACCCAGGCCAACCAGTATAGCAGTTCAAAATTTTCAAATTGTGGTCCACAACAACCTAAATATCAATAATGAAAACTGAATAAGTATAAAAACTGATATAAATTAAGATGGAACTAATATAACAAAGTATGTTTTCAAAATTGTAAACAAAAGTGACATATCTCCAACACATTAATTTTACCTGTAACTGAATGGAAGGGAACCCTTTCCTATTATAATAATCTTTCTCTCCTTGCAGTGCACTCGAAAGTTGAATGTGTGTTCCCGTCAATAAAACCTACTATACCTGGGAGTGAACACACATCCTGAATTTCTGTTGCAGTACACTGTTGTTGTGCAGGGGATGGCCACTGTATCACCTGTTAAAAAACTTTCACAATGTACTTGTACCTCTTACACAATTGCTTTTTTTTTTCAAATGTTAAATTAATTTAAGTTTTCACAATGTCCCATAGAGTGATGATTTGTTTTTTTCAATTTGAATTTATCAGTGTTCATCGATCACAACTTTTCACTACTGAAGACAAGAAGCTTTTTTTGGTTATTTTACTTACCCTGTCACCAAGCTGCACAAGTGCATCACAAACATCTTTAACAATGCCATGTACTGTCGACATTGAAAGTCCAAAAACATGTGCCACCTCTCTCATGGATGATTTGTTTGCGATGTACCATAAGGCAACTAACATTTGCCTGTCCGGGGGCACATTCATCTGTGGACCGTGGCCGTTTCTATAGAGAGTGTTGGATAGTTCATTTAACATGGATGTAAAGAGCTCTCGAGATACTCGAAAATGGGTTTTGAAGTCATCCATATGTTGCGGTTCGTTCATCAACTCCACCACGTTTAAAACATACCCTTCTACTTTTGGAACGCTGTCTCGCTTTGAAGAATATTGAAATATAACATTCTTCTTCCTTTCTGTACATTCATGGACATGTACGCACTCTATTTCACTCTCATCATTAAAAATTTCTAAGAATAAATAAAAAAATACAGCCATTGACAGCCATTGTTTACAACTACAGTTTAACGAAAGTAGATTCGATCAAACCAGCAATTGGCGCATGCGCTGTTTTACTTTCGTATTTAACTATAGTAAGTGATCGAAGTCAGTCAGTATAACTGGAGTGACGTAATTTTTCTACCATAGTTCTACCAACGGAAACACGGTGGTAGAAATATGGTAGAAAAATTACGCCACTCCAGTTAAACTATATCGGGTTCGATGTTACTCTAGTTCAACAACAGTTACTCAAGTTCATGATCGAAGTCAGCCTTCACGATCAGATGCGAACCAGTTTAATTACTGCGAACCAGGTTTTAAAAAATATTTAAAACTGTGAAGTAGGATTGTACAAAGCTTCTAGAAATAAATAAGCATAAATGACTTTCTTATTTAAGTTGAATTTGAATTTACAGATTACCTTGGTGTTAAATAGGGATTTCTTTGTTTATTCTTTACTGATTTTACTTAAATGAAATTAGCTAGAGTGATTTGCTGCAGAACTACCTCCCAGAATTCCAAAACGCGCAAGCGCATTTGAAGTTCTTCGTGTCATAAATAGTCAGCCCACGGGCTGACTAATAAAACACAGAACGGTTAAATTCATTTATATATATATATATATATATATATATATATATATATATATATATATATATATATATATATATATATATATTGTTCCTTAATACTATCTCTGTTCTATGAAAATATTATTTTGTTTGTAGGAAAGAAAGTTAGACAGTTCTCATTTTGCTATTGAAGGAGAACTCATTAAGCGTAGAATTGAAGTACACTTGCCGTAAGTAATAAATATTTTACTACGCTTTATTATATACCTAATGTGTATCACCCAATTTTACTGTTGAATTTACGCTATCACGTGACGTCGTGATCCGATTTTCCGGATCACCAACATGTTGTTTTCTGAATCCATATCACCACTCTCTGAAACTGATGACGTAGTACGCAGAAATATGACGTTATTTTTCTTGCGCGTTAAAAAGTCCCTTGTAATTATGTTCCCCAAACGAAGTTGGGGAACATATTGTTTTTACTCTGTTTCTTATTATTATTATTATTATTTTTCTTCTTCTTCTTCCTGGGTACTTTTTTGTCCGGGAATGATCTTGTAAACTGTTCGTCCGAGGTAGGTAAAACCTTTTTAGGGTAAGTAGACATGTTATGCAGATTTGCGGAATCAAGGTCATTTTGCGCGCACGTGCTTGCAAGAGCGCGCACGTGCAACACTTGAAATAACATATATAATAGATATAGTCGGAACTTTTCTATTTTTTGATAAAATGCTTTGAAACTCATAATGTAAGGATACATTAGTAGTATAGACAAGATGGCATGGTCAAAATAGCAAGATCTCACGCGCATGCACGTGCGCTTTGCTCTGATTGGCTGAAACTAAAGTCTCAATATCTTTCTTGTTTCTTGTCATAATCTTTTGAAATTTTGAACATTGTCCTACATTATAAAGATCTACAGCATAATATATAAAAATTTTAATAAAAGCATGCGCATGCGCACGTGCTGTAATCTGATTGGCTAAAACTTTAAATGGCTATATCTCCTTTGTTTTTTGACGAAATGCTTTGAAATTTAAAACATAGTCATGCATTACGATATCCTAAAATATGATATAGAAAATATTCATGAAATCACGCGCATGCACGTGTGCTGCAATCTGATTGGCTGAAACTTCAAATGGCTATAACTCTTTTGTTTTTCAACCAAACAGGATGAGATTTAGAACTTGGATAAATATAAGGGACTCCTACAAGAAGGTGTAGTCATTTTGCACGTGCTTGCACGTGCGTGCACGTGAAATGAGTAAAATAAAAAATACACTCGAATGAGTGCATTTTTTAATACTTTTGGATTAAATGCTTTGATATTATTAAAATTTAAGATAGTGTAGACAAGATAATATGGTCGTTACGCACATGAACACGCGTGCAATGCCTATTTTTTAAATATATTTTGTATTTTTCTTGGAAGACCTTGATTAAGTCTAAATTCCATGAAGTATTTCTTATTTAATAGAGATAACAGGGAATATGGCACCAAAAGGGAGTTGGGGAGCGTTTGGGGAACATCTGTAACGGTCCCCGTTACAATTAGCACTAGTTATGCTTTGTTTTATGGATAAATGTTATGCAATTGATCTCTAAAGCTTTCTTTTGCTATATTTTGCTAGTTATGACGGGGTATATAATAAATTTATCATTATAACAGTAACTTGATCCGAAGAGCCGTGTCACATCTCGTTGACAGGCGCGGATCATCAGATCAAACTCGACGCTTCGCGTCTCGTTAGATCTGATGATCCGCGCCTGTCAACTCGACGTGATACGACCCTTCGGATCAAGTTACTGTTATAATAATATATAGTATCATATCTCTTTTTTATTTAAATTAGATTTTACTTAAACGTGTTCTTTGGTTCCTGTTCAGAGTATTCAATGGCATCATTTTCTTTTTATTATTAATCAAGATCTTTCCAAGAGAAAGAGTTATAGAAAAATAAGCACAAGTATTTTTTCTTCGTTTAAATATGACTACAAATAATATGAACGAAAACAATATACGCCCGAATCTCATAAAAAAAATTTAAGAGTCAAATAATACACAATTATTTACTGCGCGAATCTCACATTCACCTGGAACCTAGATTTTAAGTGCGTTAATTTACCATTACGTAATCTATCTTTCGGTTATACGTATCCGAGAAAGTCTAAAGCGACACAGTCGATAGGCAAAATAGTTGGTATATTAAGACCATTTTACAACACGACAATTAATGGAAAATTATCATTGTCGGATATCTGAGATTAATATGTTGGCTTATCTTTGTTATCCCCTCGCGCAACTAGTTGCGGAGGGGATATAGCATCGCGAATGTGCGTATGTCTGTGTGTGTATAAGTGTGTTCGTTACACCTTGTGGGCAAGATTGACAGAAAACCTTTGCATTAACCATTCTCAGCGTTTACATACTTCTGTGGCAGTATAAAAGGACGAAGCCTATTCATTTTCAAGTTCATTGTTGAAA